ATTGTGTTTTATAACATTTTATATTTATTTAGTTAATGAATTTGTTCAATTAAATTCCATGACATACCGCAAAAACATTTATCATTAGAAGTAGCACTAGTTAATAGTTGACTGAGTTGAAATTTATATAAGTTAAATTAAATCGCATGTATCACTAATTTAACGGTAATTTTAAGTATATATGTTTTAAGTAATTATATTTATATTTATATGTTTGTATATATATTTTACTAATTTAAATACTTTATAACTTTTTTATAATTCTTATAACTTTTTTAAATACTTTTATATTATATAAATTGTAATAAATATATGTGTTTTAGTATATTTTGCACAAAATGTACAATATAAACAAGGTTATTTTTTTTTTATGAATTGTAGATTTTTTAAATAAGTTGTCGTTCTTTTAAATCAATTATCTTTTTTTTCAATAAATTGCAGAATTTTTAATTATTATTTTTAAATAAATTAAGTTTTTTGCAATAAATTGCAGATTTTTCTTAATAGATTGTAGTTTTTTTAAATAAGTTGTCGTTCTCTTTTAAGAAATTAAAGTTTTTTTCAATAAATTGCAGATTTTTTAATAAATAGTACTTTTTGCTCGTCAACTTTGTTACTGTTCCCAAATATTCCCACTTGAAAGATTTTTACTTGCTAGTTGTTATTTAAGAAATGCTTCATAAAGTGCTATACATATTTAGGCAAACATTTCAATTATATTTAAGAGTCATAACGTCTGACTTTCACGTGCCACAATTTTTCGTAAATATTAAGCATTACTGGTGTGGTTGCAAATGGTATTTTCTATTATATGTAAACAATTCTAGAGTTACCTTTCTTATATTATTTTTTAATATCTATCGATGAATTTGGAGTTCACATGCTCATGTTATTTTCTAATATCGATAAAATTAGCGTTGTCTTGCTCATTTCAATTTTCCATTATTATATGTATTTTTTAACCATTATACTTTTATTAATTATTATAAATTTTTTAATTATTTAATATTTTTCATTAATTTAAAAAAAATTTTAATATTATATTTTTTTTTAATAATTATTATAAATTTTCAAAATCTAATATTATGCTATAATGCATTTATCTTGTTGCACCTTTACGAACTTTGACTTCAATGAAATTTGCAAAATCTTGTTTACTTACAATTTTTCACGCGACATTTTACATATTCTGCTTACTTTTTATACATCTAACCGCATTTTAAGCGCACCTTTCTTCTCTTGTTAACCATTTTATGCAAAATTTACCTTTTTTCTGTCCAATTTTCAGCCGCTCACTACATTTTCGTATTTTGTTTAATTACAATTTCTTTTAAACATAATTTTATTATTTATTTTGTTTTCTATTTTAATTGCTATGCTGACTGCTTAAAACCCCACACGTGCGTTGGGCGTGCATACATAAATACATATATAAAATTTGCTTACGCTATAAAAATTGGCACACACTGTAAGCAGCGTTGCCGTAATAAGAAAAAAATTGACAGAATTATTTACGAGTTTGCTGAACGTTGTTTTTGTTGTTGTTACTGTTTGCTTTTATATATTGAAAATTGCATATCATTATGTTTTTCTAATATTATTGCTCGTTTGTTGAAATATGCATACATATGTATATACTCTTAGTATGGTATACATATACTCAAGGCGTTTTCCTCAATATTTAAGCGATTGTTTTGACTTTTGTTTGTTTTTGGTGTTACAATGATTACGAATTCGTTTGATATACGCGCACGCGCTGCAGCTTGTCCGTTTTATCAATCAAATTACCTGCAGCTGCAGTTTACCGTTATGCGCATTTCAATTGTTGCATCGGCTGCTCTCACATTTCCGTTAGCCGGCGCGTGCTGCCAGTTGTTCAGCGCTATTATTGCAAATTGTCATGCGTTCGTTATTAGCTATATTGTTTTTGTTGCAATTATTAGTTAAATGTACGTATGTGTTGTATAATTATTAATACGGTTTACATATGTTTGCTGTTAATAAATGTTTGCAATATTCATTTATATGTGTTGTTTTTGGTATTTAATGATGCCTGTGCTTACATACATCTATGCATATGTGTAAATGGATTTTTTCATTAATTGCTAATTTTTAATTATTAATTTTGACATATACCAATGTATATATGTACATATGTATATACGCCAGTATATGTATATGTATATTAAACTTATTTTTTAAAAATATAATTTAGTAATTTTATTTTCGTTATATAATTTTGTCATGTGAATTTCAATTTTTTGTTTTTTGTAATTGTAAATAGCCTAAATACATACTTGCATACATAATTCGACACCTTTCGTTAAGTTTTGATTTATAGTACACTTAATTGCGATAACTTATTTTGTCTTTATATATTTTCTTTATAACAAGCAATAAACAATTAATATTTTAAGTTTTTTCACTACTGAAATACATGAAATATGCGTGGCAAACACAGCTACACGCACGCTCGACACTCTTCGTCGCGCAAAACAACGGCAAAGCACCTGCGCACGCGCGCACATGTCACTGCAGGCTGTCAATATAGTTGCAGACGCTGCGATTTGTCCTGTGATCCTCAATTTATGCATTGCAATTGTTGTTGTTTTTGCCAATGCGACAAATTGCAGCATCATTTGCCGGTTGTTGTTGTTGGTTGGTCGCTTGAGTGGCCGCAAATACACCAATAGCCAGTTGCGCGCGTGGGTGCGTGCGCCTGCTATCAGCTGTTGTTGTTGCTTGGACCGGGTGTAGCGGGTGTTCGGTGTAGGTGTTTGCCACATTTTTGTTATTTATTTTTTATTATACTTTTTATATTTTATAATTTCCATACTTATTAGCTAAATTTATTGAATTTAACTATATTTATATGTATATGTATATGTATATAAGTATGTATATATAAAGAATTGAAATTGCTGCTCGTTATTTTATGCTGTACGCTCGTTATACACTAGCCCGTTACTTTATATTTATGTAAATTGTAAAATACTGTATTGCATTTCGAACATTCGCATGTATTTTTTTTTTGTTTTTTTTTTTGCTTTGCCAACTTTGTAAACGCATTCCTTTTAATTAATTTATTTTTTATTTTTAACTACCCCGCTTACACGCGCTGCTCATCTACTTTTATTACAAATTATTTAAAGTAAGTATGTAGAGGTGTACGAGTATGTTTACATTTTTGTTTTTGTTTTGTTTGGAAGTATCACACAGGTATATATGTGGTGCGATGAATAGTCATTAGAGTTTGTATGCTTGCCGCGCATATACGCGGTGTTTCATACATACATATATGCATAGATGCTATAGAGTTATATAACAAACTTAATAAGTGTATAATAAAATTTTAGGTTAGTTTTTGTGATTTTGTGTCATAGTTGGAAATAGCTGCTAAACGCCTGCCAGCAAAGCTGCATGTTTTTTTTTTTAATTAAAAAATTCATTAAAAAAAAATTAAAAATATATTTCAACATTTATAAATTTTATTGGAAAATTTTTAATTAAAAATGTAAAAATTTTAATTGAAAATGTAAAAATATAAGTGGAAACTTAATCTTAATTTCAAGCATTTTATTTGAAAATTTTATTGAGAATTTAAGAATTTTGAACATTTATAAATAGAAATTTAATCTAAATTGAATTTTAATCATTTTATTTGAAAATTTTACTTGAACTTAAAATGAAAATTTAAATTAGTTATTTTATTAATCTCAATTGAATTTCAAACGTTTTATAAGAAAATTTGAAAAATTATTTTTACTGAAACAAATAATCGCATTTCACTCAGCACAGTATCGGCGCTCAGTGAATTGAGAATAAAGCACATTGTAAACGTAAAAATTTACACTTTAAAACTCATGCAGTATTTCATTTGCACATAACCATGTTTTTTTGCACAAAACCTCACTTTTTTGTTTTTGTTTTGAACTTAAACCTATTTTGCCGCTTTGCTAACAAATGCCTAACGCTTTTAGCACTTTTTACATCAAAATAAGTGTAGTTTTTTAAATTTTCAACGCTTTCAAGTATTTAGCACTCGTAATTTTCCTTTTTTAACTGTTGAAAAATATTTGAAATATTATATATTTTTTGTTGCTGTAAAATTTGTTAATAATTGAAATTGTGTTTTAGTTAAATAGCATAAGTTTAACTGTAGTTGGTCTGCGCAAAACTTTTCACAGCGCGCATTTTGCAAATTTCATTGAAGCATCGTAAGCATAATAATTCCTACTGTTACTACTACGCATATAAATGGTTACGTTAACGACCACGTGTGGCCCGTTTAACATAGCATATACATTTTTGCTAATATTGTAGTTTAATAAATTTTATGCAAACGTTTTTGTGTATTTTTTCAAAATCGATTTTGTATTAATTTTTGCTCGTCGTCGTTCTGTCTTGCGTTTTATGGATAAGGTTGAAAACAAACCGTTTTTTAATACATTTATATAATTTAATATATAATATAATTATGTTAAATAAGTGTTTTTAAATGTTGTTTGTGACTGTTTGCTGCTACATCAAATGTTATATATACTAAATATGCATACAGTTACTTTGCAAGTGCATTAAATGTTAAGTTTCATATAAATATTAGACATTTTTTTGTTTATATAATTTCGTTTAACAGCACATTTTTGCCGACAACTTCTGCTCAAATGAACTGCATTGTGCGCATGCTATTATTTTTAACTTCATTTTTGTGTTTATTTCTTTATCATTAATTTCGAGTCTTTACTAAATTTTTTAATATTTCTCATTATTAATATAGATCTTGTTCTTAATTTTTTTCTAATACTTCATTTAATTCTTTCTTCTTTTTATTGTTATTTTATTACTAATTCAAATTTTAAATTAAAAATCGGTGCTTAGTTATTTTTTCGCAAATTTTTCTTTTGCATTTATTATGTATTAAAATTTTTTTGCTCTTGAATATAGTATATACTAAGAAAAGCGCATAATTGTTCAAAATATTGCAAGTAATAGTAGTTAATAAAGTATTATATAAATATATATAAGTTGAAGTGGAATTATAGTTGCATAAAATATTTATATTTTTCCATTTAAATATGCGACATAAATACAATGCAATAAACAACGTGAATACTTTGCAATTTATTGACATGCTTGCGCATATTGTTGTTTTTAGCACTTCATTATATATTTATATGATATATTATATATAATATAACACACACAAGTGTGTATAAGTGTGTGTCTAACTCTTTTTCTAACCACAAGTTGTAACGCGTAAACAACATGTAATGGTGTTTAAAAATTGTTACAGTGACATCAATACAGTTACTAAAATATTTGTAAACACTTTAGCGGACAATTAACCTAAAAACAAAACGAAATATTGCTAACAATTACACATTAGAAATACACTAAGTTGTAATAATAACATATTTTCAATAATATTGCATTTACCATTAAATAAATTTCTTTTACATTTCACAAAGCAAATACACAAAAATACCAACAACGCTTGTTAAATTTGTTAAACTAATAACTACAAACATAACCTTGTACATTGACGTACGCTTCCTTTCAATACCTGATTTCAATTATTAGTAGGATACATATTTAAACTACATAAATGTGTTAGTGGTTTTTGCTTTTAAATTAAGTTTTAAACTTTACCTTTAAATTAATAAATTTTAGTTAATTATATATCGAGCCTGTGCTGTAGCTGCTTAATCCTCTTTGGAGAGACTGCCCAAGTCGCTCAGGAAACCTTCGGGCGTTAGTATATGCGACGAACCGACAAGCACTTCCCAATTCTTAACGGCATTGGTGACTTCATAAGCGCAACGCATCTCGGACATACTAACGCCGCCCACAATGAATACAATGAGACGCGGTACATTCTTCACCTGCGTCTGTGCCTTGTCTTTATGCCAGTGGCCATAGCGTGCGCTGTGGTAGGGAGAAATAGTAAAAATAATAAATATATGCTCATTAGTAATTGTCGCGTGCATGAAAACTATTCGGTTTCTGACTTATATTGAGATCTGCTATTACTGCAATGTCGTTCATATGATAAAGAAGTATAATTATACCAAAACAAGGAAAAAAGTTAATTTCGGCTACACCGAAGTTATTATACTTTCACAGGTGCATTTCTTAAAGAATAAATATATTTTGGTTTTGATCTGTCAATTATTATGGTAGCTATAAGCTTTAGTGATCCGATCTGAAAGATTAGTTCGGAGCTTGTACCGTTATCTTGGAAAATTACTCTTGCAAATTTCGTAAAAATATCTCGTTAAATAAAAATGTTTTATACAAGGACTTGAGTGAGATCGGAAAAAACATGTACAAAATTTCAGATCGATATAGCAAAAATTGAGGGGCTAGTTCGCGTATATACAAAAATATTTTACTATGCGTAATGATGCTACAATAATCACAGTAACACTCATTTTACGTAATTCAGAAAATATCTATAACACAACAAGAGCGATATTATATATTTTTCAGATAAACCTTACCTAGTTGGCGCATGATAATTGGTATTCTGTGCACGTCCAGCCAGAAAAGCGAAATGACGCTGATCCAACTTATCCTCAATGCAATCCTCCATAATATCCTTCACGACTGGTGTCCAACGGGACATTTGATAAGTGTGTTCGGTGATACGCTCTTTGCGTGGCACGTTGTAGACTTTCTTGCGCGACTATGGTGGGAAGAAAAACAATAACAAAATTATTAAATTTTTTTTTGGTATATAAAAAAAAAAGTTAATTTTTTTCGACTTAAAAAAAAAAATAATAATTTAAAAAATTAAATTTTTCTTAAACAAAAATTTTTTTTAACTAAAAATATATTTTCCATAATTCAAATGCTTCACTTACATCGGCAATCACATTCACGCCCAAGAAGCTCAAATTACGCACCATATCTTGATCTTTCGGCGAGAGTGAGGCGTGCGTGAAGAGTTTGGTTAGATTTTCCTCAGATATGCCGTTCTTGATCATAACATAGAGCGCGATTATGCGTACTTTATCGAAGTTGGAGACATCCTACAAGAGAACAGTATTGATTTAGAAAATCTTCTTGAAAAAACATATAAAACAAAACAAATATGACATCTACATACCGCATTGAGAAGAATGGGCACAATGTTGCGCATATGATCCTTGATCTTTTCACCTTCGGCATCGGTGCCCATAGCCAGATCCTGTTCAACGCGACACAACTTATCGGCATAGCTCTAAAATTAGGTGATACGGGATATTTTTAGTAAGAATACATATATTAAATAATAATAAAATTATAACTAAATAATAATAAAAACATTTTTAATTAAAAAAAATATTATATATTATAAATATTAAAAAATGGGAATTTTTGTCAAATTTAATAAAAAAATTAAATACTTTGAAGAATAAAATCCATATTTACCTGATAAGTCTTCATGCAATCCTCAGCCAAGTGCAAATGTGTTGAATATTTTGACAGCTCCTTCTGATACTGAGGCATTTTCTTGATCATTTGTGACAAATCGCGCATGGAAGCTTTATCGGCTATAATATGAAAACGGAAGATAAATAAATCGATTATCAAATTTAAGAAAACTAAATAAATAAAATTGTATGACTCATTACTTACTCGATGTCATGCGCTTCGATTCGGTGAACTTCTTCAGGTTCTGTGTCACCTGCGTGGACACCACAGCGATATGCTCATGCCGCAATTCCACCCACAAGTCGTCGTTCTCATCGAGTAGCACCTCCTTTTCGGGTTGATTCGGGCCGGGTGTATAACGATAAACATCGTTGACGATTGGCAACAGATCGTAGGCCATCGCTTGCAGCGTTAATTCGTGCAACAATGGCGAGACGCAATCGAAACCACGATCCAATATTAGCAATTGCGAACGTGACTTCTCCGGACCCTCACCCATTGTGGGCTCATCCGCCTTATAGGCGTCCAACTTCTGCTGCACCGCAGCAGCCAAATCTATGTTGCGATCCCAGTCAGTGCGATATCGCACCATCGGATACTCGCCGAGTGTGGCACACAAAGTCGCGATTTGCTCGGCGATGCGATCGATGTGCTTGGCGCGTATCGAAGCAAACGCTGGCGAATACAGACACTGAAAGGTGTCTGGCGAATCGAGCGAGTAGACCTGAGGGAGCGATAGCCACGACAGACGATTGGAAGATAGAGTGGGCGAAAGCGATGGTGCGAAGCATTTGGTGTGAGGGAGAAGTGGTTCAGTCGAAGTTTAGGGTTTTTTTTTTTGTTTTATTTTTGTTTATGGATAAAGTAAAAATAATGGATAGTAATTAATATGTAGAAAATTTGCGGTTTTTAAAAGATATTTCAAATAAATTTACAAAATTTGTACAAAGCGGCAATGTTTTTATAGACTTTCCGGACAAAGCGTTAGTTACATTCTAGCAGTTAACATGTCACGGGAAATATAATAACAAGAACAAGCAAGCTTATTAAGCACAAAGAACATTTCACAAAACTACATAAATATTTTGTTTTTGTTTTTGCAAATGCATGAGTCTATATCAGGCATTGTATATGTACTAAAGATGAGAGATGAGCAAAAAATTTAATAAGCTATAATAATAGCGTTTGCAATAAAAAAAAAAATAAATTTTAATTAATGTTTACATCGGGTAATAAGTATTTTATAGAAGTATTATTCTCAATAATTGCTTTCCAGTAATGCTAATCGCAATTTCTTGTTGTAGAGACCTATCGAGACTCGCTATTAAAGGGTTTATGTATAAAACTTTATAGATTTTAATAATGGCCCTTAATTTTTTTTATTTTAGAAAAGAAATGCGTTCTTGCTCGACTGGCCCAAAAAAACTGAATTTTCTTCAAAAAAAAAGTACCGCAAACAGGTCTCTTTGGACTTGCTTGATCGTGCGAATTCCGATCTCACATTCCTGAAGAGCATTATAACTGCATGAGACATGAGTTTATGAGTTTGGCATGCAAACAAGTAACAAAATCGCTCAATAGATATTCGTGGTTTGATGCATCAAGAATTTGTTCTTATCGGACAGACGGTTGTATTTCGCCGCATCGAGGCGTTTGCGTGAGAACATCCATCGAAAACAGCCGGTATTGTGGAAGAACAATGCATGGACTTTACGCGATGATAACGCACATTCGCATCGAGCCACAATTGTGACCGAATTTAAAGCCAAAAAACGCAAGAAATACTATCGATCAACAACTGTATTCACCAGATTTGGCTTCGTGTGATTTTTTCTTCTTCCCCAAACTGAAATTACTTAAAACTAAATTCGCTAAAGGAGCTGAAGACCATCCCAAAAAATGCTTATGAAAAATGTTCCGAGGACTAGAAAAATCGTTGGCTTAAGTGTTTTACATCTGGTGGGGATTACTTTGAAGGCAACAAAATAGATATTGATAAATAAATAATTTTTTTTCGTTTTATTTAAAATTTCCGGGTCTCTTTTTGTCACAATTTATACTTTTGGACTTAACGAATTATTTAAATGTTTTTTACTGTTCTGAAAAGTATTTAAATTCATTATTTTTTACAAAAATTCTATGAAAAAAATTTGAAGTGGAAAATAAGATTAAAGAGTTATGGAATGCCAACTAAAAGTATTCAAAACCAAAAATAAAAAAGAAAATAATACAATTACGATTATAATAAAAAAATATTAATACAAATCAACAAATAATTATTATTATAAAAAAAATAGTATTATAAAAAATTATTATCTGATACATTTATCTATTTACATGCAAGAACATGTAAACTATTATGATTATGTGGTGTGTTTATGTGGAAAGCAAAATTATTAGGATGCTGAAATTACACCATACAACAAGTGCGTTGATCCATAGGGATGTGTGAAAGAGGCGAACAAAAAATTTATTTATTTTTTATAATTACGTGGAGACTGCTTAAAGTTCGCTTTATAGAAATTTCGTTAATAAAGGGAGCAGTTACACACACATGCATTAAGACATGTATTTATGAGGTTCTGAAATATCCAAAAAACGGTGTTGAGTTCTTGGCTAAAGAAAATTTTATAAAAATAACCATTTGTTGAAAAATAATGTGTATTTTTTTTCAAAGAAGATTTTCCTCACGAATATTGCTAAAAAAATGCAAACCTAATAAACCAAGCATTTAGCAAGTTGAGTTTTAGGAATAATTTTCATCATATGATCCCTCTCTTATTCGATAGATTCAACTATGAAATATTTAGGATTGCACTCTAACACCTCCATAAGATATGTACATTATGTATGTATTATACATATACAAAACTTCTTGGTTTTCAAAGGACTTTAAGTCAAATAACAAATATCTTGGACTTATGGTTTTAATTTTTAATTTAGTTTTTCTGAAGTTGCATACTTCCAACAAATTAGCCTTTCATTAATTATAGTCAAAAGCGAGTTGCGAACTTTTCGCAGTCCCATCTCATTTATTATTTTTTTTTTTTTTGAGTTTTTCTAAAGCCCGAGAGTTACATGTCAAATTACAGCAAACAAAATTGCGAATAAATGCGAAATTGGCAAATTGCTTTGTAAATTTATATACGCTTGGGTTAGTAATAAAGACAACAGCAAATAAAACTAACTATATATAAAGTGCAGATAGTAAAAATACGATATTAGCACACAAAATGTACTAATAAAATATTTAAATATTGAATATTACAAAAATACGAATAATAAATACTAATAAAAAATAAAAATTTCTACAAAATACGAATAAACTAGTTTTGTAAATTTACACAATTTGCTCAACAATTTCGCATTTATCTGCTAACAAGCATTTTGTATGCAACATTATGCTTGTTCTTATTTTGTTGCCAACATTTTGCACTAGATTTGCTTTTTTGTGTTGCATGTGGCATGCGGCAAGTGCTGTGTGTTGGGCGTGTAATTTGGCATATAGTATTTATTGTTTTTTTTTTTTGGTTTGACATTCTTTCATTCCAAGTGTTTGGTTAGTAGAAAGAAATCAATAAAGTAAAAAAAACAACATAGACGTAGTTATAGACGTAAGCACCGACAATGGAGGCGCCGCTCGTAAACGATTTGCTTTTCTGTATACAATTTACATACATTAAATTGAACACTACAAAACAAGTTAAACAAAACTTAAGGAGATATTTCGTCGTTTCGTTTCTTTAATTAATTCCATTGCGCAAACAGCTAAAGTGGCAGGCAATCCTTGCTGACGGACACTTTAACTGTGGCAATTTCACTAGGTTGCATTCTCATTAAAAAAAAAAATCAATTTTTATTTTTGCGCCAGTGTAGTGCTTGCAATAGGCATCTCATTTTTAGTTACAATAAAAAAGTGGATAAGCGCAAAAAACGTAAGGTGGCAAGTTTTGAGGTTATATAACATATTTTTATTATATTTTTTACCACTTTACGTTTTTCAGCTTCAATTTTTGAATTCACCAAGTAATTTACTAATTTAAAATACACAACAATTTTTTTTACTTAGTTATTTACAACATTCAGAGATATAGTAAAACAGAGACAAAGAAAGGGAGAGTGTAGAAAGAGAGACAGAGAGAAAGGAAAGAGCGCGCGCAAACTGTGGCAAATAGTGAATGAAGTACAAGGACTGCATTTAAGGAGGAGGGGCACACGCAGCAATGCAGCGCTGCAGCAAAGGAAATAAATATAATCCTTTTAAATTAAAAAAAAATATACACTAGAAACTCATTATTTTTTAAAAGATTTCATTGCTGAGATGACAGTTTGACACTACTCAAAGAGAGTACTCGTCAAATCGGTTTATTTTGTAAACAATAAATTGACAAATAGCTCATTTTCATGAAAAAATTCTGTCATCGTTGAGGAATGTACACAGTTAGGACGTCGACAAAGCAGCTGATGTTTTCTAATTTATCGAGGACCGCTTAATGGTACAAAATAAGTCTGAATTCCGCTATTGGAATTGATTAAGGAGAAATTTGACAGTCTTAGAGCTTTTAAGAGAGTAGAAGGCTCTCCAAATGGGGTTAAATCTCCGAAATATGGCTCTAGTTATTACATGGTGAAATTTTTTTCGTTTTGAATTTAGTGCAACGTCTGCAGGGAGTAATTATGTAATTAGTTACACAATAAGAATCAAAATTGAACCATTTACTGAATACATTATTAGTTGTTACCGATTTGAAGTGTGATTATTTTATTTCTGGTGGTAATCTAACGAAATACACCACAGATAGTTCTAAAAATAAAAAAATTTAATTTCGTATCCTTCGAAATTAAATCTCCCTTACATGTGTATTTTTTATATCATAAAAGGGCTTAAGAAAATATTTATTCTGATTTTGATCGACCAGCTTATATGGCAACCAAAAATTCTTAGCAGATAAACGGACGGACTCGAGTACGATTTTGGTTTTGCGCTTTGTATAAAAAGCTACGAAAAATATATTGAAGCTGACCTTACCGGGAGTGCCGCCTCCTCGTTATGCCTGTCGACACATTTCTGTACATACATACAAACTTTTTCAAGGATTTAATAAGTACTATTTAGAGCGTGTGCGTGTGTTGAAAAAGTAAGAAGAGCGCGTTGAAGAGGCGTGTAAAATTCATTTGTTTGATAAAATACATATTTTTACTTTAGAAAAAAAAAAAAAAATACACAATTGCCGAATGCTTGCACACAATTTAATTATACTTTCGTAGTATTTATATACATAATATTTTTGAGTTTCGAAAATTTCGTTTTTTTCGCACCTGGCATTCGTATGGTAGAAATGCAATATTTATCTCCTTTAGAGTTTTGATCTTTCTTGCAGCGCACGATTTACACAAATCGTTAAATAATTCCTCCGGGCAAACTATAAATATATAAATGTAATCATACAAAGAAATGATAAACGATAAAACAAATGATAATGATTACATACATATACAAATATACAAAAGACGTATTTGTATACGTATGCAGTTTAAGTGGGATGTATTGATGTGAATATGTACGTTGGGTGAGCATGTAATTAATAGTACGCAAATGACGCTTAACATATTCATCTATGCATACATATGTCTGTTGGTCTACGAAATTTTTTTTTTCTAACTTAAATCATTATTTTTCTCTTTTTTATGCAGATACATACATTCTGCCATACATACATTTAAATAATAATACAATTTAGAGGGTTTTGTAACTGGGTTTTAAGCAGAGTAAGCAGCAGCATGCCGCCAGCCAGTGGGGGTTTGACACACTTGATCTCCGCTATTAGTTTAATTAGCTTAAATTAATACATACTAATTTAAATGAGAAAAAATCGTATGTACATATGTACGTACAAAAAAATATATATTTTTTCAATGTTTTATAGATAAAATTTGTATATTTAGGATTAAAAAAATAATAAATTATCTAATAATGGCAAACATTTAAATAAAAATAATTAAATAAAATATGCGTCACTTCTTTCATAATTAATGTATACTAATTAATATTTATTCGTGAATGAAAATTTTTTACTATATTTCAATAAAAAAAATGGTAAATGGGAAAATCCATAAAATATGCCTATATATGTATTTATAAGATTTTAATATTAAAATGATTCCTTTGTAGTTTTAGAAGTTTCAGCTGTTGATCAACAAAGTCAATTTAAAAAAATATATTTATCTTGAAAATACATTTTTTTAAACTATTGATAAACAAAAAAAAAAAAAAAAAAAAATAAGAAAATACTTCTGCCGTAATTTATATAAACCATTTATTATTGATTGTTTAAGGAAAGATTTGTACCACATTTTATTTAAAAAATATTCTAAAGCATATTATGAATAAAATTTGTATAAATATGAATGTTTANAATTTATATACATACATGCTATATATGTATATATGCATGTATTGTGTATATGTATGCAATTTTTATATTAAAATCAAAATACATATTAATAACTTTCAATTATAACATACTCTTTTCCGTTATTTTTTTTTAAATTTTCTTAACCAACAGCTGAGGTTTCATATTTACGAACGTAAAACAGTACTTATATAATATTTTTATGAAAAATGTAATGAACGAAAAATCTAGCGTCACTCGCTTACCCAGTTTTGCTGCAAAAATGCACTTAATATATGTATGTAATAATATGTAAAATAGTTGTAATTATAGAGCAATACACTTGAAGACAGTAGATATTTATGTACGTATGCACAATTTAGATAGAATTAGATTATTGATTATTTAAAGAGGATTTCAGACATTCAGTTAGTAGGTTCAAATGAATTGCATTTAATTTAGAGTTCGCAATATATGGCCGAAACCGTATGAAATATTGAAATGTCAGACAAATTGAAAATATTTACAGGACATAAGAACTCTGGTCGCACCACAAATCGTTGCAAAGGTAATATTATTTTTCACAAAGTGGTGTTGTGTGATTTAACAAAGGACTATATAGTATTAGGGAAACGCTGCTAAATTGCAGCTTGTTATGACATGCCATGTCCCCAAAAGCAGCATTAGATTAGTGTTAATTAGTAGGCAGTTTAATAAATAATTTCGAAATTGCCTTTTGTACACATATACATTTTTGTTTAAATTATTGCTCTACCTTGTCTTCATAGGCTAAAAATGCAATATTTATTTCTTTGCATGTGCGTATATATTTTCGCGTAATGTCGCTGCGTATTTGCAACATATGGAATATGTCTTCAGGTATTGCTGCAAGATATTTAGTTTTTTTTTTAAAGGGAAGTTAACATAAAATAAATTATCAAATTGAAATATGAAATAAAATAATTATCTTTAAACACTACATACCCTCAGTGAAGAAGACGTGCGCATAACGATACATTGGTCTAGCCGGATTCTCGAAATCGCGTATTAATGCCCGCACCGACTCATCCGACGGCGTAATCAAGTAGATGGCATCCATGGTTGGAAGCGGTTCACGCTTTTTGTTGATATCCTCCACCACTGTGAATAAAATAAGGAATAATAAAATATAAGTATAACAATGTAGTATCAATTATGGTATATTTTACTTACAGGTGATACCCTCGGCGCTTATTTCATGCATTTTGGTGCATGCAGACACCATACGCATACCCAACTTATCGACAACCAACACACGCCATTCCATGCCACCTGGGGCTTTTGCAGCAGCTACAGCTCCAGCCTTCTTTGGTGGTGGAGGCTTATACTTCACCACCTCATTCATAATCTCTGTTTTAATCGGCAGAAAAATATATTAGTACATACAAACTTACCGCTATGTTAGTTTGTTGGCAATTATTATTGAAAATCAATAACACTTTACACCTTATTTATGTAATACACATAAAATGTAAGCTATCTAGATATTAATCATACAAATATACATCTTTTACACATACATATTATCGAATGCAGTAAAGAGCCGTCATTTATTTATGTACATATAAAGCGTGATTCACGACTAAACAGGTTTTTGGAGTGACTATAATTTTGAATAAATTGCCAATCATATTCGGAAAAGCTTTAATGTTTGAATTTATTTATGTGCAAACCGCTAAAGTTCTTATTTCACATGATTAAAAATAGAATTGCAAGTCAATAGTCTCACATTTTTCCAGCAACTGGAAAGATTTTCTTTTTTTATTGCATGGTTGAACGAAGGGTATGGAAAGACTGACGTTTTAAGTACTATATAATTGACTCGATGTGCGTTTTCTTGGCCATGATCCAGACATTGATTTTTCATTATAAGGCATGTCTTACAAACTTTTGATCTATTACCAGCATTGATTGTATGGGAAAACATGCATCACTATAGTTGGGGTTCATAATGTATTTGGTGTTTTATTACATGATTACTCACGAATTTCGTGATTAAATTAAAATAAAATACATATGATTGTATGCTTGGTGTGCCGGCAGCATTTTGAATGTAGTTATTATATCTGGATTAATGATACCATAATGAATTGAAATGGTATAAAACAATATTTGGTAAATATACACAATTATATTCATATATAGCATCAGCAGGTACATATGCCAACAAATAATGAGTCATTTTGCAACCTGTGGTTAATGAAAACAAACATACAGTAAAAACAATAACATAACGACTGAAAACAATTAGCGCTAAATAACATAAGCGAAAGTTATGTATGTGTATAAAATTAAAGAAATAAACCTTTTCGCTGTAAGCTCCTATGTATTTGTGTATGCATAAGCACCCAATTCGAAAATACTATATAATGTAATTGAATTCGGCCAATGACGTCACAATGTACAAAACAAATATAATTATACATTTCTTTAATTGACATTTCCTTGCATACATTTGAAAGATTTACGCGTACGCTAATGGAAAATCCTACATTTTTCGCAGCATTATGAATGCGGCATTGCTGATAAGTGGGCGTTGCACTGGGTCTTTGGATAAATGCTGATAAGACCAACAACAAACGACCTACATTATACACAGTATGCAACGTTTGCAACAAAAACACAGCCTTCATATTGTTGGCGATAGAAAACTACACAATAAAATTACATAGGTATGTACGGACATGCAATTCCAGCTGAGCGCAACCAAGAGGAGCTGCGCAAGAAAAAGGGCGCACCGGGGGCATACTAAACGGGGGAAAATCGATAATTGCTTAACGAGTATGCAGTATTCTTTTGCAAAGATCATAATTTTCAGTACAAATATGTGGAATAAATAAAATTTATAAGATAATTGAATGAATTTATATGAATTCCAGTACATAATCTTATCGTTATTCGGTCACTACAAAACCCTTTGAAGATATATTCACATAACTGTATGTATGAAGGTTAATTTTCACTAAACAGTTAATTATTTTTGCATTTCACTTACTTTGCCCAACCAACACTTTCAACGCCATTTTTTACGATGCTTTTTCCTTATCCGCGTTATGGTTCCGTCTTGCACCTACACACAAATTACTGAATAAATTTTACACTTTTTCTTTCGATGATAATAATTTTCCAATTCACTACAACTCACAGCAGACGTTCACTAAATTTTGCTGCAATGTATGCGTAGCGATGAGTAATGAAGTCGATACAAATAATCGGTTGAAGCTGGCACTTCTTTTCGCCTTGTATCTGACAACAGGGCAACGTAGTGCCACAATATTTGAAAACAGGGTGATGGTTGTCGAAATCTTATATTGTTAAGGTTGTTTAAATACTTTCGAAACATCAGTTTATAAATATCGTAATATGAACAAAATATGGAATAAGATATTGCTCGCTAAAGTTATTGTTATTTCTTTTTGTTACAGGTTACAGAACTTTATAGAATATCATCTTACACAATTACAAAAAACCCAAAATACATATTTCATTCAAGTACTTATTTTAAGAATGAATACCCCTTATGAATTCATCTTGAAATTCTACGGCTCCATTGTTTTCAAAATACTTCGCTAAATCTTCCCTTTGTTTAAAAGCAGTGGGACTTGATTTTTGAATTAAACATTTCGAATGACTTATTGCCGGATTTCTATCTTCAATGTCCTTTCTCCAATCCCCCTTTTTAATTATATGATTTTCATCCTCCCAATCTGCATACTTTTCTGGACAATATATGTGATCAGTATCATTTGACATAATAAAATTGTGTAGAGCGCAAACTGCCAATACGAACTTTTTACATTCAGTTGATTTCGCTGTTATTGGTTTTTTAAATATATGCCAACGCGCTGCAATAATACCCAAAGTATTCTCAATAACTTGGTGACCACGAGATAAACGATAGTTGAAAATTTGTCGTCGCTTACTTAGCTCCATGCCAGGAAAAGGACGCATAAGATTATTGAGTAAAGGAAAAGAATAATCGCCCGCAAAATAATGTGGAAATGACGGATTGACTTCAGTGCGCTGACCCGTACCGGGCAACGGTAAGATATTTTCTAACAGAGCGTGACCGTAAGACGATGAAGAAAATTGTCCTGAACGAGAAACATATACTCATAACGGAAGCGTTAAAAAATATCAAAACTCACCATTATTACCAATACTAACTGATGTAAGTTTATAGTTCGTATCACAGGTGGCCATTAGTATAATATGATTATATTCTGTTTTTCTAATGGAATGAGCGAGTATAATTTCTTCGTTTGTGACTGCCCCAACACAGTAAGGTAAGTGCCACTTTTCCAAAAAACCTTTTGCCAATTCACTGTACTTTGCCTCAGTTGGCTTAGCAAAATAAAGTGGTTGTAGTACCTTCCATAAAGCTTCAGAAGTCTCTAATAGAATTGTTCGTACCAGTTCTACCCAGTCTAGTTTATGGACACGAACTATATAACTATAAGAAAGTCCTTTTGCTAAAAAACTGCGCTAAATATTAATTATATGATTATCATTTAAAGAATATATGTTTACTTACGTTAGTGTCATAGCAAGTCGTTCTTCAACAGTGATTTCTTTCGGTACGTTGGACCGCACCAATTCTACTTTTATCATAAAAACAAGTGAATCAAACATGGCAGCATTCATGCACGTATTTTTGAAAAACTCTAAACTATCTTGTTCTTTCATTGGTAGAAACAACGACTCAAAAATTCCAGGACGTTTCTTAAACTTACTATAAGTCTCAAAATTTATTGTAGGCTCAATGCTTTTTTCCTCATCAGAATGAGGTTGTTGAATCTCTACCGACTCAAAATATCCAGGACGTTTCTTAAACTTACTATAAGTATCAAAATTTGTTGCATGCTGAATGTTTTCTTCCTCATCTGAATGAGGACGCTGATGTAGTTGTTGAATTTCTGCCTCTTTTAACTCTTCCGGCTGATCACGTTTCAAACGTCTATACAAAGCGCAAATGTACATAAATAACAAGCTGCCTACAGCATGATGTTCCTCTAACATTTCCCTTAATTTATTGTACAAAATAATTAACCACTGACCGGTTTTAAGAAATCTTTTATTTATTTACATGTGCCAGTTAACAGATGACTGCGTGTTTAACGTAACTTAAGAACAGAGTTGCCATAAAGCAAGTGCTGCTAGTATTTTAGGAAAATTTTATTTTTCGCGGACACAAATACATTATTTTCTTCAAGAAAGAAGAAATCTTCGAGAAGAAAGAAATCTATACAAAAAAAACTTCAGCATGAGCTCTCAGACGTGAAGCTACAACAACGACCGAAGTAATTTTCATAATTTCTTTCGGATACACTTTTCTTACAAATTAGCATCTTTATCTAATCCCGAATAAAGCATTTCTAGTTTCTTTATATTATTATCTTAAATTCATCAAAATCACGTTCACATTCATTAATTAATCCTTCACTAAGATCCCATAAACTTCAGTGTTGCTCGTAATCACCAAAAGCGCGCACATGCTCTCGAATGCGCACCGAGTTGATAGCAATGAAACCGCTCGCATCATTTGCCACATATCCTCCATGTACATCCATGGAGACCAGCTTCTCATTGTACAAACCACCCGACGCTTTGGCCGATTTACGAGCAATAGCACGCGCATAACCTGGGGCCAATTCAATAATAACTTCACCGCTTACATGCTCCTGTGATATTTCGATGCAACGACGTGCATATTGCGCCTCCGGACTGAACCAGAAACCATTGTATACATAATCGGCCATGCGATTGCGCAAAACTTGCTTCGTGCGCAACACCTCACGATCTAAGCAGAACACTTCCAAATCCTGATGGGCAGTGAAAAGTATATTGCCGCCGGGTGTCTCGTAGACACCGCGCGATTTAAGTCCCACAAAACGATTCTCAACAATATCGATGCGACCAATACCATAAGCGCCTCCTACTTCATTCAAGAATTGCAATATTTCAAAAGGCTTTGTGTACTGCTTGCCCGTGGATTGGTCGACCACGGTAGTGGGTAAGCCGTTTGCGAAATGTACGGAAACACGTTTGGGTGTCTGGGGTGCCTTCCTTATGGGATCAACAGTCATTTCATACAAAGATTCGGGTGCGACGTGGAAGGGATCTTCCAAAACGCCCGACTCATAGCTTATGTGCAGGATGTTGGCGTCTGTGCTCCATGGAGCAGCCGGTTTGGCGCTAACTGGTATGTCGTGTTTTTTCGCATATTCGATAAGATCCAAGCGTCCTTGGAAGCGATTGCAGAATTCCTCATCACGCCATGGCGCGATAATCTGTAAGAAATTATTTAATGTTGATATAAAAAAAAATCTACGAAGAAATGGGTATCACATAAGCCGATAAGTCATTATCGCATATTTTAAATGCATTAACCGAATGCTGACAAATTATCGGATCCGCACACATTTCAAAACAATTTAATGCGCGTTTGACCTGAGTGTATGCGTATATGCCTGCGGCCGTGATAACCTTGCATGGACTAATCAAAGAAAGTGAATATTAGATTACTGCTTGGCAATGACCAAGAAGTTTACTCGCAGATAAGTACCGCTTTAGACGCCGATAACGAAGGCGAACGGCTAAGAACTAACTAACGTTTTACGTTGATCAAACGAAGAGGAGTTCCGACGCTTTTGCTTTCATAATTCTTATACATATAATAAGTTAGATCTATTAAGTACGAACTGGAAGCTTCAGAGCTAACGTGTTTTGAAGCTTTCTGCCTGAAGTGATACAGTTTGCACAGTCAGCTGACAGGTTTGGACGCTACTTGTTTTTAATGATGTAACATTTGACCGCGAGACGTATGAGTTCGATTGGTATTATTGCGGTTACTTTGACGTGAGGAGTAAAAACTTGGAGATCACTACAAATCCAAACAAGTATCGTTCGATTTCGAGGACAAAAGTATTACATTGACGGACACGACTATGATTTTGGATTGTACGGGTTTTTTTTTTTTGAAAATTGGCACAATCTCTGAATATCTCACCTTAATATGTGGTAGCAACGCGTACGCGTTCAATTCGAAACGCACTTGATCGTTTCCTTTGCCGGTGGCGCCGTGCGCTAAGTATTTGGCACCATACTTTCTGGCCGCCTCTACAAGCGCAACAGAGATGCAAGGGCGCGCCAAAGAAGTACCCAAAAGATAGCGTTCCTCGTAGATCAAACCCATTTGTATGGCTGGCCAAATGTAGTGTTCCACGAATTTTTCCTTCACATCGGTGACGATCACCTCGGTGGCACCGATGTTTAGCGCCTTCTGACGTGCCGCCGCAAAGTCCTCCTTCTGGCCGACATCGGCCATCAAGCAGATCACCTCATAACCTTTGTCCAAAAGCCATTTCAGGATACAGCTGGTGTCCAGACCGCCGGAATAAGCCAAAATTACTTTCTCAACCATTGCGCTCAAATGATGGAATGAAACTAACTTTTCGACGCCTGTAATACGTATATATTTGAACCGATTCGATGCTCGAGGGAAGCTGTTTTCTTATTATAAGTGCTATTAAACGCTATCTCGATAAGCTCGTGTGCTTTCTGCTGATAAGCAGAATAAAAATTGATGTACTCGAGTGGTTGTAATCAAAAAGCTTTTCAAGATACTCGTACATTATGCAGCCGAAAGCTGTTAAATCTGGGACCGATAAGACAAATTCAGTTTGTTTAAACTTATAAAAAACCAAATAGATGTATAATTTACTTTCGGTTACAATCGTGCTTCGGTTCATGTTGTTATTACCAGAGACCCGTGTGCCCCACTAGACAGCGATACGCTCTGGCTTATCGCCAATCTGTAGTATTTATAACATAAATATGTACAGTTCCAGCCCCCAGAAGTGCTAATAAATAAGGAATATTATATCTGGTATGTAGCTAAGTTTTTCGAACTTCTTGCGAGAATGCGTCAAAAGTAAATAGAAAACAGCAGAAGTGTGCTTGAACGGTTGTTTTTAAGAATTAAGCTTGACCACTTAGAACTGATAATTTAAATATACATATGTGCTCCCAAATTAAATGTGTGTAGATCAAATGTAAACACTGATCGTACACAATACTACTATTTCGTAGATAAACTAATATACGGTTGAAGTAATGAAGTAATAATAAGTTACTTCCGAAGCATTTCTTTTATATTTTCGACAGATCAATAGTGTGATCTAGATTTAAATTCACATAAAAGAGTAGAAGGATATATTAAAGGATATATCCACAAAGCTTCATTAATCAAATTCTAGTCAGTTGACCAGGATTTTATTGTAGATCCGCGGATGTCCATTAGGATTTCTGCAGGTTTGTGTGAGTTTCACGGCACTGCACTATGATATTAAGTGTACGAATATTAATGAAATCAGCTTTTAGCCACTTTCTTGTGCATTTTCCATAATTTTTTATTTAAGCATTTTTATATATTTGTATATAGAGAATTGCATTACATTTATTATAATAATAATTTTACGCGCTTATTATGGTCAATTTTTGTTAATGTATTATTATTATATTAAATGTTGTTTTTTTGTAAACATTTTCGCTTTTTCTACGAAATAATGTAAGCTTGTTGCTTGATAACTTCAGTATTTGATAGTTGTCTGCATTTATTAATATTTTTTTGCTTGCAATATTGTTATAAATATTTAATTTCTTTTATTACAGCTAATAAACATGGACATTCTTGAAATTTACTTGCTTGATAAGCAATAACTTCGTCAAATACAGTTATCGCCATTTTCATTCATAATTTTTTTGGTACATTAAATTGTTTTTATAAATTTTATTT